AAAGTTAAATCAAATAAAAAGTTAATATGTTCAGTGAAAAGCTGCAATAGCACTTCAGACATAGATCTTCACTCTTCACCTACATTAACTACTTTCCAATAAAAACTAACCGTTTTATATATGTAAAAAATATATTCGGAAAATTAGAGAAAAAATGTGCACGCAAATTGTAAAATTGTTTATTGAAATAATAAAGTACGTTATAAAAGTAAAAATTTTTTTGATGATGGAGTCGACGAAGTTTTCTTCTAAAGTTAAATCAAATAAAAAGTTAATATGTTCAGTGGAAAGCTGCAATAGCACTTCCGACATAGATCTTCACTCTTCACCTACATTAACTACTTTCCAACTAACCGTTTTATATATGTAAAAAATATATTCGGAAAATTAGAGAAAAAAGTGAACTAATAGAAACTTGGATGAAAGCAGTAGGTATCAAAGAAGTGAATTCCGGAATAAAAATTTGTTCACGTCATTTTAATGCACATGATTATATTTCAGCAAGTATTTACCATCAGCCATAACCTTAATATTTAAAACTAGAATCATACTAAAATTATAAAGTGAGAAATTATTTATTCCTGTGTAATTGATTTAACACAATTCTAATGATACGATATAAGTATTTTGAGGTTAAGAACCTACCTGCTGCAATACAACAAAGTTGCAATAATGTGTTTGCAACGTTCTCTTAAATCGGCTTTGCACGTGCAAGTCATTGATATGATATTGCTTAAATCACCCAGAATCACCTCACCAATTATATAACGTGAATCACTTTTTAAATCCGAAGTTTGTAAAAAGTAGGCAGTAAACTTGACGGAATTTGAAGGCTAGCTTCCGGATTTGTTATTTCCGAATTTTATAATGTGATTGGCATTAAAAACACGCTCACCTTCAACGAAATTTCCTTTCCGAGGCTTTGTGTCAGCCCAATCACATATTGTGTTAATACTTATCATTTTATCGTAATTTAAAAGCTTGGAAATTGCACGGTACACTATAGGAACTACGATAAATTTTCCCTAATCGGAGCCATGTTTTTAGGCTCCTCCCATTTGACGGATCCCAATAACGACGCTTTTTAATCACAGTTTTAAGAAACACTTATCGACATAGGCCATGCGCGTGGGGACAATCCACGCGCAGTGTGTACTGCCTATGCTCAACCCATTAGCAGGCGCCTATGTTACTCGGCGCGTGAATTTCCAGAGGCTTTACAGACATTTTTGTTTATTTTTCACCAACTGTTAAAGTCAACTGATATTTGTGACACTTAATAAACAACAACGTGATCAAAGCGTATGTGTTCCAAAAAGAGCTTGCTAGCCGACAATGTACAAACGTCCCTAATTGTAGATAAGTATTTATAAACTGTTTTGACGATCTATGTCCGATACTATTACATATGCGGGGTGTTCCAATCCCATCTTCCTGTTTTAATGCATTTCAAAAATTAACTTTTCTGCAAAAATTAAGCACGTTCCATTATTTACCAGTATTGATATGCACGTTACCAGATTAGGAAATATTTTTGAAAAGCTTCATTCCCCTTTAACCAAAATGTAATAACAAAAAACGAATCCAACTTTTATGTTGTAAAAAATTTGGGAGCGACAGATTTAGACTCAATTCTTTGGGGGAGTGGAGTGAGTTTCTCTTAAAGTCCGGAGATGATCCTTTTAAAGTAATTTTGAAAAAGTTAACCCCCCAAATAATAAAACAATTAACATGAAAAATCGCTTTAATGCAACTCTCGTACAGATTCAAGTAATTTTCTTTATTGCAGTAGAAAATGCTATAGCATCTGGAATCACTTCTCTATTTTATTTATTTCTATTACTTATTCGATGATTATTATAAATATTTAACATTTTGAACTAAAAACAACTTTAGGTCCACCAGTGTGTTTGGTAGGTACTGTTTTTTATTGTAATTCCGGCATATAATTACAAAACTGTGATTTTTTGTAAAAAACCACATGCCGTTTAGAAAACTAACATGTGGTCTGAATTGTTCGTTTCGATTAATATAAATAAATTATAGAAGTTATAAACAGTATTAATTAATTTACCTACGCAATATTTAATTGATAGGTCTAAAAGAAAATTGTTAATTATGGACATGGAGAATGTAGAAGTTTCAAAAATAAATAATCGATTTAAATTTTCATTATAGTTTCATCGGACGTGCCTGCTGAAGGAAAATGCGAACCTGGAAAATCGTACAAAGTGGACTGTAACACCTGCGTTTGTGGTGACTCTGGCGTTCTAGCTTGCACTCTCGCACTTTGTTTAGACAAACGGTCAGCAGCTTCAGGTAATTATCACATAAGTATATAATACATACAAATAACCCTCATGTGTGCAACCCGTTTGCTTAATACTCACCCGAGTGAGGTAGGAGTAGAATAACCTCATCGTACGTCCCAGCGTGTCGTTAAAAAACGACTTATGGTGACAAACTTCATGGCACTCACTACATATTTACACACACACATACATATATGTATAAAAATGCACATTCGAATCAATCATATTTATAAATTGCTGTATATGTATTAAACAGGGGCCTAAATATGATGAGCTATTTTCTACTTTACTTGTGGATTCTACAAAAATTACGAAGAACAAGATGAGAAGATGACTTCTGAGACTGAACAGCTGAATTATTACATCTCCACGTCCTGAATCTTTTGAACAACATCCAGCGATGAAGGGAAGCATATAATACTAGAATGAAGGAATACTGTACCGTGGACCTAAAGAAATTTCTAGAGAGTTGAAAGCAGGTGGTCACTTAATGGGAATATACCAAAAAATTATAAAGTTCCTAATAAACCTTGAACATAGAAGTGAAGTATCTGGGACATGTTATAACACCGGAGGGAATTAAAACCGACCCTGACAAAATGAATGCAGCACGAACTTAGAAACTTTTTAAGTCTTTGCCTCTAATATCGAATATTTATACGAGTATTTGCCGATATAGCTCAATCCCTGCATAGACTTACAGAAGTTGGAGTTTTATTCCAATGGACACTGAATGCTAGCATTTGAAAACTAGAAGATTATACTCTCTGAAGCTCCAATTTTGACATACTCACACTTTAGCGAGTCCTTAATCGTTGGGGGACTTGACGACGTTTACAGTACAGTTCCAAGTACTGGACGGAAAGGAAAATCATCGGGTACCTTATTAAAACACTTTTAAAACAGGAAGGAAGCTACTATATCGTCCGTTGAGAGGTACTAGATGTGATTAAAACCTTCAAGCATTTCAATAAATACTTGTATGGACAGAAGATCCTCTTAAGAAACAATTACGCCATACTGGATGGGTTAATAAAATTCAAGAATCTTGAAGGACAGATTGAACGCTGACTACAGGAGACAACAATGTTATTGGGCCCAGTGAAATTCTCTTATCCTAGACCGCGGAATTTTAAAAAGTGGAAGAGCCCGGATGGAACCAGAAACAAGCTGCAAGTAGTAGTTCCGAAGAACAGAGTGTCAGAAGTTTTAGAAGTAATTCATGACGAAGGATGTTTTAGCGTTACGAAGACCGTAGAGAAGGTAGGCGAGAGATTTTATTGGATTAACCAGGACCAGTCCCATTGACAGACTCCAATAACCGATACATTTTGGCCATCATGGATTAGTTTAGCAAGTGGCTTGAAGCATATGCGATACAGAATCAGGAAGCGCATACCGTTACCAAAAATCTTGTCAATAGTTGGATTAGTCGCTATAGAGTGCCAATGGAATTGTATTTTGACTAATGCAGGAACTTCGAGTTGACTTTGTTAAAGAAGGTTACTGAACTAATAGACATTACAAAAACGAGGTCTACGTCCTTACATCCAGTTTGATGAGACAGTTGAACGATTGAACGGTAATCTGGAAACCAACTTAAGAAGTTTCGTCTAAGAGCACCAACTTGATTGATATCGACACATACCGCAATTCCTTTTAGCTTATAGAACCGTCGTCCATGAGACGATTGGAAGAACATCGACCAGCATTTTATTTGGCGAAGAACTCAGGCTGCCAGCGAACGTGATGTATGATCGTCCTGGAAACTCTCCAGTGTCTACAGACAAAATAGTGCGCAAACTACAAGATCGCATGAAAATTAGGTATGATCGACATATGATCATACATCATTACTCGACGCATTTTGATCGGCTTGCTTCTTACTGAGGCGACGCAATTGATCGGGATGATCAACTGAATTAAAACTTTAGAAGGAGGCAGTGTCACCTTAAGAGCCCTGTGGTGGGTTGTCTAGATCTCGCTAGTAATACAGAAGACCCACATTCTGGAATCTTTCTAGAACAACTCCAGCACCCATAAATAGTTGCTGCAAGGTTGGAACGAGACACCAAGGTTTAGATCATTGCTTAGCATTTGGGAGGGCACTGGTTCGATTCCCGATCTATCTGCCCTGGTCCAAGTTTTTCTGCGGTTTCCTTGGATTACTTAGGCAAATGCTGGGGCAGTAATATTCCACAGATGATCTTTCATTCTCTTTTGTCTTAATTTTATCCGTCCCATCTTTCTCACCCCAACCATCACTTAAAAGGAGGTTGAAGAGGGACGTCCGGTGTAATCCAGAGAGACTGCCTTCCACCAGCATTAACAGCTAGTGGAAATGAAACACCCAAAACTCTTCGTTTTTGAAGTGAGACAGTTAATTCGAGTTCTAGTTACGAGACGATGGAAGACGAAAAAGAGTGAAGAAGCGATTTAGTGAGCGAGTGTTTAATTAATAATAGTGATGTAAATTAAAGGGTAATTGGTTAAATAAATTGTCAACAGTGTGAAAGGAGTTTGATTACGCAGAAATATTTATATTACCGATAGTCATTACACGGAGTACACGGAGTTCGAAATGAAACTGTATTAGCGTTATTTTCCCAAAATCTGTTTTGTTTGCAGATGAACTAAAAGAACCATGCACTAATGGCACACATAAAGTTATAGGAGACGGTTGTAACTATTGTTCTTGTACTCCCGAGCTAAAATGGGCGTGTATTGATGGAGACATTAACAAATGTGTTAAAGGCACACAAAAAACAAAAAGAGGTTTGATTTGTAGTAAAATATACCATAAATTTTCATAAACATATACATGTATAGTGAAATGGCTCAAAAAACGAAAACATGTCTCGCATGTAGAAAAGGTCACTGGAGATTTTGAAATTTTTCCAAAACGATTGAAATTGAATGAATTTTCTTTAAATTGATTTTCTGGTTACGTTTGAAATTGTAAAGAATCTGAAAATTTCGAGTCGATCAATTTATAGATTTATAGATTCAAGATTTTTTTTATTTTTTTCTTGAAGTTGACACCCTAAAGAATAGAAATGAAGCATGAAAGGAAAGAAAACCATAAACACATTACGTTATTATTACAAAAAAAACAAAGAATACTTACATTTGCAGGTTATTAGAAAACATCTAAAGTTCCTACTCTATTTTAAAAATTTAAAAAGTTTTGAGCGATCTCAATAAATCGATACCTGTATTCAGAATATTTACAATTTCAAACGTAAGTAAAATGAACATGACGAGAAAAAAATTAAAGGGAAAACATTATTTGTTTAATCATTTTGGTAATTTTTTAATCGAGCTGCTTTTTGGCGAGGATTATTAAAACATGTTAAATGAACATTGTACATTTAGCTGTTTAGGCATTTTCCACCACTTATTCCTCTCTTCAGCTAATACTAGCATTTCACAAATTGTAATACAGTTTAGATGTATCCCTACTCCTCTTAACTCCTGTGTATGCATCTGATACGTTTCTAATTAGCCCTTCATGTGTGAAAAGGTGTCCTATCAGTCTGTTTCACGTGCTTCTTCTTATTGATTTGCATAACGCTTTCTGTTCTCTTTCTCTATTAAACACCTCCTCATTTCTAACCGTAGTAATCTTAGCATCCCTCTACGACCACATCTTAAACCCTTCTAACTTTTTGCGCAAAGCCCATCATCCATGACTCACACCATGTAGAGCCTTGGTCCAAACATACCCCTTTAATAATTCTTTTCAAATTTTCAAATTAATCGAACTCGAGCATAAAGTTATTTCTTTTTGTTAAAAACGACTCGATCTTGTCCTATTCTTTGCTTTGTTTTTGACTCACTAAACATCGAAAATCAGCGGCTTCTTCTTGTTTATCGTCTCCTATTTTTTTATTAGTTTTATTAAAGGATATTTAATTTATCCAAGGTATACCACAGTACTGCGATTCCAGTGTAATACTGATGAGAGCGTATAATTAGAAAATATTTTTTTGATTTGAATATCTTAATTTTTAAGTATTTATTAAAAATAACGAAAAAAAAAACGGACAGACAGACATAGAAGTGATCCGATAAAGGTTCCGATTTTCATTTGAACGGAACCCGATAATCAATTTAAAATCATAAGAAAAACGCAAATTGTACGCACTATATTGTTTGTTAAGAGATTTACCACGTTATGTTCAGACCATAGACTTCTTATCAATTTTCCTGTAATCTACAAATAAAGAAATATCTTCTGTATTTTACTCAAAATTTTAGGTTCAGTAGTTTCCAAGATAAGGGGGTAGGAATGGTCACTTTTCTTCTATTTTCTTAAATAACTTTTTATTTTAAAAATATAATTGTATATTTGAGACCCTTATAACAAGCCCTTCAATTTGATAAGTCGCACGGTGCAGTTTTCAAAACTTTTTTTTTTATTTTCTATTGGGCCCCCAAAAATGACAACATATTCAAAATTAATTTATTTAAGTTACGCGTCCGTGTTTGGGTCACACAAATTCATACGTGTACCAAATTTCAACTTAATCGGTCAAGTAGATTTGGTGCGAATTTACTGCGACAAACGGACAGACAGACACACGAGCGATCCCCTAAGGGTTCCGTTGTTCATTCGGTCGTACGGAACCCTAAAAATTACTTGTAGTACATTCATCACCATCATAAGGTCATCAGTCCTAAGACTGGTTGGACACGTACCTCCACTATTTCCTATCCTGAGCCAAACTTCGCATTTCCCTAAAACTAGAACAGCCCACATCCTTAACTATTTGCGAAGAGTAATCTAATCTAGGTCTACCTCTACCCCTCCTAACTCCTGTTTCTGCCTCTAATATGTCTCTGACTAGACCTTCATGCCTGAGAAGGTGTCCTACCAACCTATCTCGCCTATTTTTTATTGACTTCCATAGAGTCCTCTGTTCTCCTATTCTTTCCAATACCTCTTCATTTCTAACCTTTTCTACCCACGATATCCTCATCATCCGCCTATAACACCACATTTCGAACGCTTCTAACCTTTTCTTTTCCGCCGCTCCCACTGTCCATGTTTCGCACCCGTACAACGCCGTGCTCCAAACATACACCTTTAACAACCTTTTTCGAATTTCTAAATTAACCGTTCGCGAGCATAGAAGTGACTTCTTTTTATTAAAGGCGACACGACCCTGCGCTATCCTCTGCTTTATATCCCTACTACTCCTTCCATCCTCACTTATCTGACTTCCTAGGTATCTAAAATCAGCCACTTCTTCTAATTTTTCGTCTCCTATCTTTATATTCGCTCTTTCCCTACTTTTTCTTCCCTTGCATATCAGTATTGCAGTACATTATTGCTGAAAAATTAAATTAACAGGTTAATAATTCCTTTAATTGTTAAAATCGGTTTTCAGAACCATCAAACGAGGGTTTTTTGAAATACTGATTAGTCTATTTCTAGGTACATAAAATTATCGAATTAATATTTGAATAGTGCTTAAGTATCAAGCAAATCTACCACACATTAGACAGTTTCATTCTTTCTTCTTTGTTGATCAATTTACCCCTAATTCATCTATATTTTAACGTAGCTATGCATGCAGTATTAAATATTTGATTTGTACCAAATATCTAAAACAACTCAGTGTTTGACTGACGTGTATTATTTTTCAGATATTTTCAATTTTTAATGTTGAGAGAATAACGAGAATGCACCTGCATACATATATGGAAAGTAATAATTTAAATCTGTTTCTATAGAGAGTATGTAACCATTATTGCAATAATGTTAAAAATAGTAGTACTACAGATAAGATGAATAAAGGTTTTATGAATTTTTGTTTTATGTGTTTTAAACAGTGGCTATATAACATATATCTAACTTTAGGGCACAGTTTACCTTAAATTTTTAATAAAAATATCTTTAACTCTTATAGTTAAAATTGTTTCGTTATTACAGTGCCTATTGCAAGTTTCGTTTTACATATTTTAACATCTGCACCATTTAAAACAAATAAAAAGTTTACAGTAAATTTTCTATACCTATGTAAGTATTACGGAAATTTTGGCATGTCTAAATATTTAGATAATATTATCATCACCAATAATGTACAGTAAAAGTAAGAGAACAAAGGATTCTATGGATGTCAATAAGAAATAGGCGAGATAGGTTTGTAGGACATCTTCTCAGGCATGAAGGTTTAGTCAGAGACATTAGAAATAGATAGATCCAATACAACCACCCAGTGATTCGCATAAACATAAGGTAATAACCTTACCGAAATCCCCCAATTGTTCCGTCAATGATGATCAGGATTACCTAGCGTAATTGTGTAACGCGGCGTCGCTAGTTGTGGTGGTGGAATTTCGTAGGCAAACATGGGCATGTAAGGAATGTACTGCTGATTATTTCATAATTCGCAAAAGCAACGGAGATACATCCTTGTAGGTATGACGTATACAGATAAATGGATACAGGGAATTCCCCCGCAAAATCCTCAAGCGGAATCTCTGTTTGCCGTTAAATGACTCGGATACTCAAACCAAATAATGAATAAAAAATAGAGAAATTGTGTAACTTAGGATAAACATCTGGACGTTGAGTTGTCATTTTTCTTCAAATTAGAACACTTTGTCAGCACGAAAGCTTCACAAGAACTAACTTCTGTTACATTATGTTTGTAAATAATAATTCAACACCCGGACTACTGGATTTTCGATAAGTGATATATCCAAACAAAGAGAGGTAGACATAGGTGGCGGTTATAGTAAAAAGTGTTTATTTTTTATCAATCTGCAACATCCAATAGCTTTTTCTCGGTGCCAATCATACTCTTCCCTGTCCGTATATTTTGTGGACGAGTACATTGTTTTTTTTTTATATTTTCAAAATATAACTTAGTTTTGTATCTTGTGGTAATAGCACTAACATCGCCAATCGAACGGTGACTACGGTTCCTAATCGTTGTCACGTGCAATTGGCCTGTCTGCGTACCAGCTAGTGTGAAGGCCACGAGTAGGTACATGTGTTTCGTCATTTGACGCTTACGATAACGAAGGGCGAGAAGATAATTCGGGCGCCAGTCTGGCTAGTGTTCTCAATCAATAACAGCATGTTAACTGGGGTACCTTTTGTGGATAGTTTTTACACCCCTTATGTTGTTTCGCGATTACGAGATTCACTTTACAGTATTTCCAAATGTTACCTTTTAAATATTCCGGAATACGAATCAGATATAGTGATATAGGCATATTACCTGTGTCTAATGTTTTACCATGTAGATAAGGTAAAATGTTTACCGAACATATAAATTACACATTTTATGTCGCATGAGTGAAAGTGCACAATTTGGTGAGTATGTTTTTTCAACGACGCCTGACTGAAAATATAGCACCTGATTATTTAAAAACTGTACTAAACTAACCAAACTCATAAAATCTTTTGAACAAAGCGTAACATCCCTCGGAGGTCTTAAATTACATTTATTGGGTTTATTTTACGTTATTATTTATATGAAAAGGTGGTCGAAGATATGTACGACTTTCTTTATAGCACGTCATATTTTTCAAAGGACAATAACCCTTCGGCCGGTTCTCAATTCGCCTGTACTTATATCAGAATCTTTAAAATGCTGTATTATGAAATTAACGAATTAACCCTAGCTCTTACTGTGTTTTAATAAATTTGGAAATTATATAGCAATACATTTTACAACCAACATTTTTGCAAAATATATATTCTATTTATGACATTGTTTTATTAATTATTAATAGTGTTCAATGTTAATATGCAACATCAACTTGAAATCACTTTTCGATTTTGAACCACTACAAAACAACATTCCCGGCGGGGGGTGACAACAGCAACAAAAATATTTTCCTCATTAATTTGAGGAAATTTGCAGTGGTTCAAAATCGAAAAGTTATTTCAAGTTGATGTAGCATATTCTATTTATACGAGTATACTATTTTGAATGTACGAATTATTAATTTAAGCGTTTGCATAACCCTCAACGTTCCTTATCATTCTTTATTTTTTATAGATGCTGAATGTGCTTATGGAGAGACGAAACATATAGATTGTAATTCTTGTTCTTGTACAAAAAATGGTTATTGGGCTTGTACAAGAATGGCTTGTATCAGCGGCGGTCTTAATGATGCTTCTTCTGGTGAGTATCAATACTATCTATAACCAATAACTTCTCTAACGCATATTTAAAAATGCACCCTTCGTATACAAAACGCTTGATTTTGGAACCTCGATTATTACTTATAGTTGTATTAATACGAAGGCGTAGAAGGGCCAAACACAATTTTTTTATTAATGTTCGACTTGTAATCCGAAATTTCGAGTTGAGTATTTATTTACCCTTCAGTATACGAAGATAGCCTATCTCGGCCAGAATCAATAGTATCGTAAAATTATGATTCGGGCTGATGAATCGTGGTCTAAATAAACTGTCCAGATGTTTCGTTGACAATTGTGACTGAAATCTTCAGCGCTCATGTTATCAATACAATAACACTGAAGATATCTTAACCCGATCAGTCATCTGGACCCAACTATACAAAGATTACATTAGGTTGCGATTCAATAAGCATTTAGAGTTACAAGTTGAAATTTCGAGTTGCAAGTCGAAATTTTGAGTTACAAGTCGAAATTAAAAAAAAATACAACGTGTAATTATACAACACGCTACTGAAGTGAAACTTCTTCAAACACACAAACATACCGGGATAGGGATTAAGGAATTGGCGTCAGTGGCGCCGTTTCGACTGTAGAGTGTAGGCACACATACACAAACACATACAAAAACATTCATACATTTTGTTCGGGCTACACTATACATGCCGCAGTTGCCTGTAACGAACGTTGCATTGAAGCACGTTCACAGCTGAAGCGATCCCCACTACGAACTAGACTACGTGGCGGAGTGGAGGGGGGACATCCGTTGCATGATTTCGTTACATCGCAACTCGCATGAAACGAACTTACCTTACCGTGCGTAAAGAAGAAGTTTCACTTCAAAAAGTATGTTTGGCCCTTCTACGCTTTCATACTTTAGAGGGCATTGAAAATAGAATTCATTTTTCGTTCTTCCTAGAAAAATAAGTCTCACAAACATTTTCTTTTGCATATTCAGAATTCACAAACGATTTCTATTCGATTGAATACTTGGAGTTTATTTTATAATTAATTAAAAGCTCCTAATCATTAAATTAATTACCAGTTAACTGATTAGTTACAAACAAAATTATTTCTGTCGCAATCAATTTACATAGACTAATATTTAAGTATCTTTTCTATTGGCTGATTATATACAGCTTTAAGTAACGCATGAGTAGTCTTTTTGGCTACAGCACTTGCCAGAGTCTTATTAGCCTGCACTCACACGAAAAGTCAATTGTTTTCCTACGAGGACAGCTTAAGATTCTGGCTTTGTGTCAAAATTCACGCCCATCAGATTCTGTCACTCTCGCAACTTGTTAAGTACCTACTAGTACAATTCTCCAATTTTCTTTTATGTATTATTTCTGTAAAGAAACACTAAAATTTTCTTGTTTCAGGCGAAACAGGAGGAGTTTACAGGGTTTAGATGTAACCTAAGTCAAAATGTACGAAAACTATTAAAATATGTTGACGTATAATAAATTATTGTAATTTAATAGTATTTTGTGTTTTATTGTGTATACCTATATCTGACTCTTCCGAATTATTTCTTAGAATTGAATACTATAGGGTTGTTCGGAAAGTCATTTCGTTTTTTTTTTGTGGAAATGAAAGACAGTTTTCGTATAATAAACAAATACTTTATTAAATTATATATTGACCGTTCTGGTCCAACACCTTTTGCCATCTTTCTGGTAGTAGCATAATTCCACGCTCATAAAATTTTTGGTCTTT